CCAGGACACTCATCTCCTGCCCTTGGAAATTGGAATTACATATTCTCCAGCCTTCAGACTCCAAGACTTGTACCAGCTGCTCCCAGGTTCTCAGGCTTTTTGCCATAGACTGAGAGTCACACTACTGGCTTCCCAGACTCTCCAGTTTGCAGACAGCCTATTGTGGGAATTCCCAGCTCCATAAACATGTGAGCTAAGTCCCACAAAAAAAAAAAAAAAAATCCCCTCTCATATGGTCCCATCTCCAACTATCTATCTCCCACTAGATCTGTTTCTCCAGAGAACCCTAATACACTCATCTGTAAAATACAGATGATAATAATGCCCAACTTCATTCAGTATTGAAAGGATTAAAGTCATTAAAATATGTTAAGTGCTTAAAACACAACCTGACAGATAGAGATAATTATATAAGTGTATGCTATTATTGTTGTTGTTGTTATTGTCCATCTGGCTAATTCTTCTACATATCTCAAAATTCAGCATGAATACCCTCTTCTCTGGTGCTCCTTCCCTGCCCTCTCAAGACTAGGTTATATACAATGCCTCTGGAGTTCCAAAGTTCTCGCTCACCCTGTAGAGCAATTTGTTGTTTTCTTCTACACCTTCTTCCCTACACTATAAGCTCATGAAGGGCAAGGACTAAATCCTATTCATCAGCATAAGGCTAGGCACATAGAAAAATATCACTGAAAATACTCAACTGTGGTAGGCTGAATAATGCCTCCCCAGATATGTGCACATCTTAATTCCTGGACCTGGGAATATGTTATCTTGGTCCTTGTGGGCTACTATAACAAAATATTTTAGATTAGGTAATTTATAAACAATAGAAATTTCTTATAGTTCTGGAGGCTAGGAAGTACAAGGTCAAAGTGCTAACAAATTCAGTGTCTGATGAGGATTTTTTTCCTGCCTCATAAATGGTAAATTCTTGATACATCCTCACACAGCAAATGGTTGGGTGAGCCACCTTGGGCCTCTTTTATAAAGGCACTAATCCCATTCCTGAAGGTGAGTCTTCATGAACTAATCACCTCCCCCAAATCCCCACCTCTTAATGCTACCACATTGGGGGATTATATGTAAATTTATAAGTTTAGAGGAATAGAATCATTCAGACAATGGCATTACCTTAAATGGTTGAAGGGACTTTGTAAATATGTTCTAATCAAGGATTTTGAGATAGATTATTTTAGTTTGTCCATGTGGACCTGATAATATCACAAAGATCTTTATATAAGAAAGAGGCGGGAGGATCACTGTCAGTAGTAGGAGATGTGATGATGAAAGTAAAAGGTTGGAGTGATATGAGGAAAGGCCCATGAGCCAAGGATTGCAGGCAGCCTCTAGAAACCAAAACAGGCAGGGAAATGGAGTTTCCGCTGAAAACTCCAGAGGGAACACAACTCTGCTAATGCCGTGACTTTAGACTTCTGACATCGAAAACTTTATGTAAATGAAGTTGTGTTGTTTTAAGCAACTAAATTTGTAGTAACTTGTTGTAGCAGCAATGGGAAACTAATACACCACCGAAGCAAAAAGCAGGAGTTAAGAAAGAGTAGTTATGGGGAGAAGACATGTCAGTCCAGGCCTTCCCTGAACCCCTGACATCAGTGAAAACAGAGGCAGTATTGATGGTGGCGCCTCTCCCTATCCTCTTGGCACACCCTCATCGCAATGGGCCTCCCAGAAACAAGATGCCACGACCACATTAGTGTTATTTATGGGCTCTCATGACTTGGTGGGGAGAGAAATCAGTGGGTACAAAGATAAGAGTGACCTCTAATTCTGGGATCCAGAAGACAAAGGTAAGAATGAAAAGGAGAGTGATGGAAAGAACAGGAAAGAACCAGGAGATTTGAGTTTAAATTCCTAGTTCCTGGGTTCAAATCCCACCAATTTCCTGTGTGATGTTGAACAACTTCTGTCCTCTATCCCTGGTCTTTTTCTTGTGTTTCACATCTTCATTAGCAGTGGAAAACTCCAAAGTATTCTTCTCCTCAACCATCCAATCAATTATTAAACCCTGTCGATTTTATCTCCAGAGATTTTCTCAGAATCTTCCCATCCTCCCCCTCCTCACTGCCTAACTATAAAGTCTCTTCTGGTTTTCCTAGTGATGGCTTTATCAAACAGCTCTGGTCAATGGCACATAAGAAGTCCCTGATGCGTCTTCAAAGAAAGCTCTTTAAAAGGGACCTAATTTAGCAGACATAGTTTTCCCTTTGCTATTGCCCTCTTCCCCTTCTTCCTTCTTCCCACCTGAAATGTTGATATGAAATCTAGAGCTGCAGGTGCCATGTTGCAACCGTGAAGGCAATAGCCAAAAAACATGGATGGCAGATTAGAAACAGAGAAGGAGCCAGCATCCTCAATGGCACCTCTAAACTGCTACCATGGTCCTAGCTTGTCTCCTCTGGACTTCGTATTACTTGAGAAAAATAAACTCCTTGCAGAAAAGCTTTCCAACCCATGTCTACATTTTTTATTGATATGTTTTCACTATTTCCTTACCCCTCTGAGCAATCAGGTGGGACCCTGGGCTTATGGAGCTACCAAGGCATTCATCTTTGGCTCCAAACAGCCCATCCCTCTACCTTGTTTGGTCCTATGACTATTTTTGTATGCGAGCTGCTGTGTGGAGAAAGTTATACAACATTTATCTCAGTGGCTTAAGGCTAATTATGGTTCTTTCTCCTTGGCCATTGCCTGTGCCCTCAGTTGTTTCATGCTCTCAGTGGCCTCTGGACACTGCTAAAAGCTCCATCACCAGCTGCCTCCAGACTCATTGCCTTCATGCCACTGCCTGCATCACTTTGCCACACATCAAATGTTCCTCATGGGCCACCGTCCAGTGGTACTGACCTTTTGACCCCCAGTGACTAGGATCTCCAAGCATCTCGCTCACATCTGTAGAACTCATCTCTCTCCTTCCCTCTTGCTCATCATTAGAGATGGTCCCTCCCTTTCTTTTACCCACCTGCAATGAAGAAAAACCAGTTCTACCATAGAGGCACTTGAATCCATAAGGATAAAGTTAAATAGTTTGAGGGATTTACCAGGAGGAGCAGGGCAGAGAAAGTTAAGAAGAGCTTTACACTGTGCCCACACTAGCATTCTTTCACTTCAAACCCATTGATTATTCTGGTCCTCTGTGCTGGACTCTTGTCTCACTCAACAGTAATATTTTCCCTCAGGAGCCCCTCTGTCTCCATTGTAATCTGGTTCCTAACATCCCATATCCCCATTACTTCAATGCTGATATATTTATATATGTCTGAACCTCAAATATGAACAATCCAAGTGCTTACTCATGGGGTCTATGCCAACCCAGAGATGAGGCCAGGCACCAGAAAGACATGGAATAGAGAGTCCTGAGTCTCCTGCTCTAGTATGAATGAGGAAACTCTCAGTTACAGTTTCCCCAGCCAGAAATGCAAGAGCAGGACTAACATAGCTCGGCTTCCTCAGTGTAATACAAGGAAGAACCTCCGGAGCAGGCGGGAGGGCTCAGAGCACATCAGAACCAACCTAGGAGCCAGGGGAAGGGAGAATGAGAGGCAGAGGAAGTTTTCCATCAGGTTCTAAGCTTTTATTGCCAAAAATTTTCCCACAAACAAACCTTCCCCAGTAAAGGAAGCTCCTGTTGGCTGGCAGGCTGCAGAAAAGAAGGTGGGCACGAGGTCTCATTAATCTGGTGGTTGTGGGATCAGTTGCAGATGCCCCAGCCCGCCCACTCTGTGCCATCTGCTGCTGCCACTGAGCTGAAGACATGTGTCTCCAGTGGGGGCCCAGCAGGAAGCCTGAAGAAGGGCCTGGACCCTGGGCTATGAGGCAAGCTACAGGGACCTGCACATTCCCTTGAGGCCAGCCTCATGACTCAGTTGTGACTTCCACCCCCACCCTCAATGCAACCCCACAACACGCCATGAAGCTCTGCCGGGGAAGCAACTGAGAGAGAAGCCCCAGAGCCCAGAAAAAAACATTTTGCAAATAAACAACTAAACAGAATTGACTGAGAACCCACTCTGTGCTGGACGCATACATACCTTATCTCCCATAAATACATCCCACACTAAGATTCTCTCTGAAACCACATCTGTCATAATTCTTGATGATTTCAGAATGTACGTTCCAAATCCTGGCTCCTCAGCCTCTATGCCTCCTTCTACCTTGGTCACACCCTCCCAGCTCATGCTTTAGGCCTCAACACCTTAATTTCAATTTCAAGCATCCCCTTGTTGCTGCCTGCGTCCTATCTCATACTCTTTAATACAGGACTCAAAATAGTCCTTCATCCCTCCTGGGACCTTCAACTCACTTTCTACCGCCTTCTCCCCACCATGTGCTCCCTTCTCCTCCTACTCAGTTCAAATTCTCAATAAAACACACACATAATCTTTCTTCGCATATGCTCTCCTTTTCCTCTGTCCTCTCCCCTTCACTATAGTCTTTCATCTCAACCAAAGCTCCATCTCCTCTGCACCTACCCCCTTACAGTCCCATCTGACAAAAGAAAGATGCACATTCATGCTGTCCACAGTCCCTTCAAATTAGTGACTGCCAGTCTCATGTGGGCCTGAAAATTGCCTGAAGCTCACACTGTATTTCCCTAGTTTATTCACTCTCCCTCTTTCCTAAATGACGTTTTCCTTCTTTCTCCTCTTTCTTAGAGCCTCCTAGACCTCCTTCCTCATCTTCGTTTGCAACTGAAGACCCTGCTTCCTATTTCACTGAGAAAATCCACCAGAAGAGGACGGATGCCGGGGTCCGGCTGCAGCAGAATAGCCGGGGGGTAACGAATAACTTCTGTACTTTGATACAGCAGGAATGGGAGCCGTTTATTGTAGGACAACAGAGCTATTTATACATTTTGTACAGCTTATCTTAATTAGCATAAACTAGATACATCAGTCAACCAATAAGGAATCTCCACACTTAATGGCTTGCTTTTGTTATTTCTCAAACCACTCCCTCTGGCATTTTGCCAGGCACCATCCAGACTTGTTTAGGAACTCTAACATTTCTCTGGCAAAATACCACGTGTTATTTTGACTTGTCTACAGACCTTAACAGACAGACCCAAACCTCCACCTTCTTTCCTGTTGCCCTGAACAAACCGTTCATTGCCCTTCTTCCACCTGTGTGTTGGAACCCACCCTCTCACCTACTCAGGAACCCAGGAGTGACCTCTCTTCACACCGCTGTGTGACTCTCTTGTCCTGCAACACTGGATTTTCACTTTCTACCAGGTCAGTCCCATAAGCACACAAATATTACTTTTCCCATCTTAAAAATAAAACCCCTCTTTGCTTTAATTCCAATTACTATCCCATTTCTCACTCCCCCGACGAAAACTTCTTAGAAGAGTCATGATTGTCACTGCCTAGATTCTCTCCCCATTCTCCTTTGAACGCTCTCTTTAGATCTTCTTCTCAAAATGTTCTTGTCAAGGTTACCAGTGTTCTCCTCATGGCTAAATCCAACAGGCAATTCTGGGTCCTCATCCTTTTCAATCTTGCAGCAGCATTTGATCGGGTTAGTCACGATCTACCCCTGCAATGCCTCCTTCACTTGCCTTCCGGGATTCCCCAGTTACCACATATTCTTCCTCCCTTTCCAGCCATCTCAGCTTCCTCCTCTCTAAATGTTGGAGGCTGAGTTCTTGGACCTCTTACCTAACTACATTATTCTCCTGGGTTACTCATCTAATGTTGTCTCTTTTAATATAATTTATTCTTGGATGACTCCCAAATATATATTCCAGCCCAGATCTCTCCTGACCTCTGGAGACATGTGTTCTATTGCATAGTTGACATCTCCCCTTGGCTGTCTAAGGGGCATCTCATTCAACAGGAAAAAAAAAAATTAATTCTGGTCTCTCATCCAACCACCCATCCTGCTCTCTTCTCAGCAAAAGGAAGCACCATCCTTCCTGTGGCTCAAGCCCAAACCCTTGAAGATACACTTAATTCCATTCTTTTAGCCTTCCATCCTCTAAAAAGACTTCCCCATCAGGAAGAGATTTGTATGTTTTCTTCACTATTATAACCTCAATACCCAAAAGAGCACCTGGACCTTAGTAGGTGTTCAATAAATACTTGCTGAATAAAGGAATAATTAAATGACTTGAATACAAAATCATTCAACATCTATTCTTTCAATAAGTAAAATAATTACATACTGTGATAAAGGCTAGGAAAGAAGGTGCTATGGGAGAAAATAACAGAGAGGCTCTACGTAGACAGGGTAGAGGTCTTTTCCCTGAGAAGATGACTTTGAAACTAGACCTGAAGGATCAGAAAGAACTCCATGGAAAGTGCCAGGAAAAGAATATTGATGGGGAGCTGACAGGAGCTTTGGGGAACCTCGTAAGGAGTGTGAATTTTATAAGAAGGCCACTGATTTCATTTGCCATGTCAACTTTTTGCATAAAGAATATAGAATAATGTTAAGACCTGAGGATTCAGATCCCCTTTTCTGTCAGGGTTAAACTTTGTGATCTTTAGCAAGTATCTGTCCCTCTCTGAACTCTACATCCATAAGCATTTTTCATCTGCTTACATAGCACTATTGCCTTGAGATTCAAGTGAAATCAATCAGGGACCTTCAGAGGTGTCATTGACAAACCTTGAAGGTCAATGTAGATTGATAAAGACCAAGAACCAAACAAAAGGGAAAGTTAGAAATGTTTTTTTTTCTTAATGTAAAGACATTAAAATAGTTCTAACAGGCAGGAGCCATTTTTCTACAGTTGACGCCTGAAGGTTTCCAGCCAAGATTCCAGCTGTTAACTCTCACTCCATCTTCTCCTTCTGTTGAGGCTGGGCCTCATCTGTGTTCAGGGAGAGTTAAATATAAACCTTGGTGAGACTGCAGCCACCGCTCCCAAGGTCAGGACAGCTCCAAGAAAGGTTACAAAAGGAACAGGGCATCTGATTCAGGCCAGCTGGCCCACGCACCTGGGCAATCTTGGAGAGCCAGGCTGGAGTTCCAGGCCAGCAACCAGCTGAACAGACTGGTAGAAGCAGAAGCTGCATTTCTCCCTCCATCGTCACACAGTGGCTTGGGCTGCTCAAGAGACAGTGGAGCAGCTGAGGGAAAAGGACTTCCACGTGCTAATATAGTCAGGCCTGGCCCAGGGATGGGGTCCGGGAGCTCAAAGCAAAGGCAATAATCAGGGCTGCCTTTCAAGAGTATAAACCGAGGGTCTTTACCACATAATCTGTAACTAACACTCCTTTGAACTGCATAGTATTTTTCCTTCTCTACAGATAAAGAATCTGAGATGCAGAGAATCATGTGACTTTTACAGCACCAACAGCTTGTCTGCGAAGAAGTTGGAATTCCAGCCCAGTTTCTCTTGACTCCAAAGCTCTATGTACTCTTTCTACTAAGTCCCACAGCCTCTCCCAGGGATATTTTCCTCCTTTCTTCTCTTCCAGAGTCTGGGGAAGGGGACATCAAAGGCTCCTTCACCATAGGAACACTTGCCCTTCACAGATGGAAACTTAAGAGCTCTACTTAACTTCTTGGGTTGTTGAGAGTATTGGGTGATTTAGAATACAGCATATAGTGACTACCTAATAAATGTTGCCCTTCATTATTTTCATTGTTGTCATCCTCACCACATCATCATCATCTAACCAAGGTCCTTTCTTATTCAGCTTATGCCATATTGACAGGAGACCCAAGGTTATTCCTCTTACAAAGTCAAATCATTTATCCTGGTGTAAAAGAGTGGTTCTCAGAATGTGGTCCCAGGACCAGCAGCATCAACATTAGCAACTTGTTAAAAATACTACATCTCTGAACCAAGTGTGTAGCTTAGTAGAGCACTTTCCTAGCATATGCAAGGCCCTGGATTCAAGCCCTAGCAATGCAAAAATAAAATACAAACCCCAGGCCCTATCCCAGAAATAATCAGAAATTTGGAGTAGGGCCCAGCAATTTGTGTTTTATCAAGCTTTGTTGGTGAGTTTGGTGCATGCTAAAGCTTGAGATCACTGAGTAAAGGAATCTACTAGCTGCTATAACAGAAACACACATGTGCGTACACACACACTACAACAGCTTAACACATAGATGTTTATTTCCCATCTACACAATGTGTTCATGGGTGTTCCTGAGGAGTGAGTTCTCCTCCAAGGGGAAACTGCTATCCTATGGCTGGTTCCGCCAAAACTGAAGGCCCTGCACTCATCTCTATCTGGCCAACAGACAGGGAAAAGAGGGATCACATCGGAGGTTTTTATGGGACCACAGTAACTTCAGTGGGGATAGTGGCTGGGGATGTAGTCATGTCGTATACTCTGGAAGAAGAGGAGTCAGGTAAAAATTTCAGTGAATACAGTAATGACCATACCTGGTATTCAAGGCCCTTCTTGCCCTTGCCCTTGCCTTCTCCAAATTAATCTCCTGCCTTGGCCTCTTTCACTCTGGAATCCCAAAGTCCTCAAGGTGTTATGACACCCCAGGAATTCTATGCCTATGTACATATAGTTTGCCCTTTCTGGCTTGCTCCTCCCTCACCAGCCCTTTTCACCCCTATCCCCACCCTCAGCTACTGAACTCCTTACATCCTTCAAAAGCTGCTCAGGATACGTCCCCTATAAAGACCACTCTGGCCCTTCCCTGTTCTTTGCCTAGAGAAGACCCCATTGGCAGTTCTCCTTCCCTCAACGTGTCCTCCAAACCACCCAACACAGACACTATGGAATCATTTCTGTCTCCTCACTGCAGTGTTGGCTCCAGAGGGAAGACAAGGTCTAATATGTCTATGTGCCCATAGAGCCCAACATAGGCCTGACATAGATGGTTGCTCAGCAAATGGATAAGCAAGTGAGTGACTGAGAAGACACTATGAGCCAGCAAGAGCCATACAATTTCAGCAGTAGACTATAGGAAGCACTCATGGAAACAACGGAGGAGAGAAGCATTTCTGTTTCTCTCACATCACTGGGAAAGCAGCTGAAACCTGCAGCTAGACCTGCCCACTGTGAGGTATTTAAGAGGTATATGCTAAGGTGACACCAGTGACAGATGAAAAACTCCCAGGAGTCAAGGGGAATGGTAGTAGATGGTTAAAGGAAGAGAATCAGGGCTGAGGTTGTGGCTCAATGTAGAGCACTTGCCCAGCATGTGTGAGGCACTGGGTTCAATTAATTCCCTTCCACATAAAAATGAACAAATAAAATAAAGGTATTGTGCCCATCTAATGTGTGTGTGTGTGTGTGTGTGTGTGTGTATATATATATATATATATAGAGAGAGAGAGAGAGAGAGAATCATAAATATGAGGTGGGAGATATCAGGAAATCTCCCATGTTTGAACTTGGCCATCTGGGAGGACTAGCAGCTGGAAACAGGACCCCTAGCCTTGGGATGAGGATCATGATGGGTATCTGGAAGGAGTGAGCCAAGAATAAGGTGAGACCCAAGACAAAGAGGAAATAGATACATCAGGATGGTCCAAATGTGATAGGGCAAAAGACAGTCCACATGGAAGCCAGGTTACCAGGGCCAGGCATTCAGTTCAGCCTCCCTTTCCAATAGGGGGAACTCAGTGCCCTCATTATGCAGACCCAGGGCAGTCAGACTGGAGTGCCCACCCCAAGGAGGTTCTGGTTAAGTCTCCGTCTTTTCCAAGCTGTGGATCCATCAGGGCAAGAGCAATGCCTCTTTATTAGTCACTAAAGTCCAAGCAATGTGCTAGGCACATAGGAAATAGTAAAAATATTTAGTAAATGGGTGGATGGTGAATGGAAGAATGGATGAATAGATAGAAGAATGGAAAGATGGACAAACTTTCTCAAGTCCCTTTTCCAACAAGTGATAATTAGTTCTAGAAATTGGAGAGAAGTCCAGGGAAGGAAAAGGGGACCACAATTACTGAGCTCTAACCACTTATTAAAACTTCCAGGCAGTTTCAAATATTAAAGCATAATTTTTAAGTCTCATTCTAATAGGAAATGTCTAATATTTTATGACTCTCAATATTTAAGCTACTGAATACGTCCCTGGTCTCTTACCTGATTCTCTCTCACAGGCCACATATTTCCTCTTCTAGAACTAATCTAAGCCTAGGGAGAAGGTCACCTATGAAGGCAACAGGGATAAGAGGTTGCAAGTATTCAGGGAACCAGATGAAAGGCATTGAGTGAGGTACCCTGATAGGGAAAGGATGAAGAGCAGCACACGGGAAGATTCACATTGAAGACTAGAATCTAATTTCTCATTAGATTTCCACTGTGGATCAGCAGGGAGGCTTTGTTCATTGTAGCTGCTGGCGGGACCCAGGATAATGGAGGCTCTTTCTTGACACTGGCTTTCACTGCAACAGGAGAAAGAGAATCTGGTAAATAATGCTCTGACTCTTAAAGCTTCCTTCTGTATGTGTTACTTCCATGAATGTGACTAACTAAAGTAAGTCATACAGCTATGCCTAAATATAAGGGAGCAGGAAAGTGCCTGAAAGGAAAAGATAAGTAGAATCTCTGCAGATAATCTTAGGACTGCCATGGAATTGGTAGGTTACATCCATGGAGAGACATGAGTACGATATATAGCTAGGGGTAGAGATAGTGGAATGAATCTATGGGCAACTATAGTGGAAATCAGTAAATGTTTTCAAGGATATGTAAGTCCATTGCTTATATTCTCTCCCCTCTTCTTATCTAACCCCTGCCTGAGTTTCCCAAGGCCTTCCCCTGGTCAATGCCATTTTTTAGGTACTCTCTCTACTAGGGATAGAAAGGGCTGGAGTTCTACAGTACCTAAACTCCTAGGTCTGCCGTCTTTATAGGACATCTAAACACTGGGCTTTGTTCCATTAAAATAAAATCCCTAGTCTCCTGGTACTTGATGATTTGTCCACAGCTATGGAAGACCAGTAATTCTGTCCCTCCCAATTTCCGCATTCCCCATCTTAGCCAGTTTCTACTTTTCATTTGCTCCTTCATCTTTTGCAAGATTTCTTGACATATTGCATCACTGTTTATCTGCCAGCCATATCCCACACACATGTACTGGCTCTCCTCTAAGGTAAGACACAGCCCTGCAGAATGAGCATGGGTGGTGGGTCAGATCTCACTCAAATCCTAATTTCACTACTTACTCACCTCACTGCCACAGGCTTCCTTGTCTTAAAAAAATAGAAATAAAAATATCAACTTCAAATAATTACCATAAGTTAAATGAAAAAAAATGTATATAAATCACATATAGTACATAAAGACAACTGTTTTGTCATGGTGTTCTTATGACCTTGTGTCAAATCTTCCCTAGTAGATTGAAAATTCCTTGATGGATTTGTGAACACTGTCTCTCTGGCCCCAGTATCAAGGGCAGTATCTGAAACCTAGTAGGAGTTTAATAAATATTTGTGAATAAATATAAGATGATTTGATATGTGTGTATGTGTGTGTGTGTGAAAAAAACGTGTATATATATGGCACAGACACACCAAACCAAAAGCTGGACCCATTCTCTCTCTGAGACTGGCATCCAATTGTCATCAACTTTATACTTATCAAGAATTGGACACATTATTAAAATTTCTCAAAGTGACTTCCCTCCCAGATGGCCTTCAGGCTGCAATGAAATGACAAAGATCTGACATCTTCATCATACTATTGCTAAAACATTCTTCTTGAGTTGTCATGTTTAAATATTTGCCTAATTTAGCTAGAGTTTGGGTTTAATTACAGGAAGAATATGGGCTTGAATTAGATTGAGTTGGATTTGGGGAAGGAAAGGACAGATAACAGGATTCCTTTCATTTGCTGTTAGATCTTTGCTAGCCAGAGAACTCCCAAGGAAGACTGGACTTGTTGAATAAAGCAAAAGACACAAAAGAAACTTGGAAACTTCTCTAGAGAAAGAGATATGCAGCAGGTATATGAGCAGGCCTCCTCTCAATTTAAAATCCTTTAATCCAGGACCTAAGGACCCAGCCCAAGATACTTGACCTGTCATTCATACCTTCCAGGATCTAGCCAGCCTTCCAATCCCTGAACCCTGCCCCTTTCTTCCCAATTGCCACACCTACCACTATCATACTGACCATAGAGACCTCAGGGCTCTCTAGCTTTTCCTGACTGGGGCCAAGTTTTATTTCTTCTCCTGTGCTGGTCTAATCCCTCAGTTAACAAATATTATGGAGGACTTACTATGCACTTCACATGCTTCTAGGTGCTGGGGATAAAGCAGTTAACAAAATAAAATAAAATTCCCTGGCTTCAAGGAAGAAACAAACAATAAAAATAACCACATGGAGAAACTATAGTCTGTCAGATGCTGATAATTCCTTCTTATATTCATTCCTTTTATTTAGGGCTGGTGAGGGAAGTCAGCAGAACAAAATCTGTGCATGGTTCAATGTGTAGTTTTTTGAAAGACAGGGCAATACCCCATACCTTCCTTTATTATTACACTGAGGTGCGTTGGCTGATATTTACAGCATGACATTGTCCTTCCAAATAGATTGGAGTTGCTTGAGGGCAGGAATGGAATTTGATTCTCATGAAGGTGCTAGAAGTTATCTGGTGAATGAGCGAGGAAAGGGATGTGCCAGGTTTTATCTGTCCACCATCTCTTACTTGTAAACCCTTCTCAGCACTTTTCAATCCTTTTACTCTTTTCTGCCCTACAGGTTTCTGATACTCTTGCAGTGAGCCTGTCTTGGTGTCTAAAGAGGCCTACTGAGGATAAAATCCCTTGGAGCTGAGATCCCTGATGACATTGTAGCATGCTGGAGAGCAACATGGCTATTTTCTAACCTAACTCCTTGACAATAATAATTGTAAATGTCATCATCCAGTGAACACCTTCTGTTGCCGGGCACCATGCTAGGCCCTCGACATAGAATGTCTTTTTAGTCAGTAGAAAGTTCTCCTTGGTAATCCTCGCAGCGCCAATAACTGTGAGAAGTACATGGAAATTACTAGCTGCTATCAATATTACTGTGTCTAAAACTACCGTTTTCCCCTGCATTAGAACAATCTGAACATTGTTAGGCAAAGACATCTAAGCAATTTTAAAATTATTTGAGTCATGACAGAGAGACTCACAACTGAAATATTTACCTTTCAATTTCAGGTGAGGACGTTCCCAGAGATGGAAGATGTGACAAGTTCCCGAGTCGTGTGAGCATCAGAGAAAAGTTCCCCTGACAAGTCACGTGCAGAGATAGGAATTGCTGATTAAAAAGAAAAAAAAGATTAATTTTATCTTCCAAGGAGTTCTGTCAGAGAAATGCTCTTGGTTTATAGAATAGTGGGCCTGGAAGGGTCCTCTGAGCATTCCTGCTCAGGCCTTTTACCGTGTAGATGGGAAGACAGAGGCCCAGAGATGAGAAGTGCATCCCTGTTCAACCTGCTTCTAACTCTCTCCCACCAATCCTTCCTCCAATCATCTATTTGATTGAACAAATGAAGACAGGTGAAGTGGGTATTTGGGTCTTGATTCACCTATTTCTTAACAAATATTTATTGAGTATCCACTATTTGCCAGGCACCATTATGAGCACTAGGGATACAGCAGTGAACAAAGCACACAGAAATTTCTGCCCTCCTTGGAGCTCATGTGCTGGAGAGAAGATGTAGACTTCATGGACTATTGACTGGTCTTTAAGCTAGAGAGAAAATTAAAGCAGAAGGGAGAGCCAATGAGGGGGAAGCAGGTACAAACTTTGAGTAGGATCATTAGAGAAGGCCTTGCTTCCAGAGAAATGCAAGCAGGGAAAGGAGCTTTGTGACTATCTGCTGTATGAACTCATATACAGAGGGAACCACAAATGTAAAAGCTTGAGGAGGCCAGCGTGGCTGGGGCCAAGTGAGCAAGGTGTGAGATGTTGAATGCTGAGTCCAGAAGGTACAGGGGACTGGGGAAGGGTGTACCATATCCTGAAAGTCCTTGTGCCACTGGTAGCTAGTTTCCCCTGATACCCATTCTGTCTTTCTTTGTACTGCCCCCTGCCCTCTGGCTTCTGACCAATGGGATACACTGACAGGAGGTAAGAGAGTGGGATGGAAGAAAAATGCTAGGCTTGCCTTCTGCCTTCCAGTTTCAAATGCCATCTCTTGCACGGGCCATAGCTCCCTGTGGATCCTGTTTCTGCCAGAAAGGCCCTGGCTCTGATGGGGCACTCCAGCTTGTGGGCTCTGATAGCCTGGCCTCCTCCCTTTATTTCTGCATCCCCAGGGGGAGCAGTGACCCCTGAATCTGCTAATCCAGGATGGCCTCATCTTCCCCTGCTTGCTCTTTCAACTCTTCCAACAATTTTATAACTAGTTTCCCTACATTAAATGACCTCCCCTGAATTACCTGTTGTGGACTTTGTTTCCCAACTGGACTCTGATGAATAAAGGCTCCAGGGGCCCCTGCAATGCTTGCACTTTTTCTCTTAAGTCAAACAGGTGACCACTGGGATGTCTGAGCAGAGATTTGTGAACAGTCTTGAAAGCCTGGATGAAGGGGGAAATATTTGTGTCTCCATAAATGCTTCTCAAAGACAGTCGCCCAAAGACATACAGAATTTGTAATGGGACAGGCCTCCTGACCTCTGTTCCTCTGTTCTCCACTCCCTTTGAGTAAATGGCATTGAGGATATCAGATATTTTGAAGACAAGGAAAATTGTATGTACATTTTTAAGTTTTACTCAAGACTCCAACACTGTGAAGAGCTTAGGAGGTCAGAGATGACCCTGCATAGGCCTAGCTATCATTGAAGACTTCAGCAGTGCAGCGGAAGGTTTTTTTGTTTTGTTTTGTTTTGTTTTCTGTCCAATCTCCTGGGATAGTGCCAATGTCAGCAGAGAAGGGAAAGAAAAGCCAATCTTTGTGGAGCCTCTGCAATATCCCAGGCTCCTGTCATAAATGGCACATATAGTGGCTCATTTAATCCTCCAAGGTCACTGCCAGGTAGATATTATCATTTTTATTTTGAAAATAAGACCTTCTAAGTTTCAGAGAGGTTACCTAACTAGTCTAGGGTCACATATCCCTTTACTCCATCAATAAGTATTGAGGTTTAGTTCAGCCCCTCAAGATAACCATCCAGGTAGTAAGATAGGGGACTCCTTGGACAAAGTCATTGGAAGAGAAAACCAGGCCTTTGGACTGAAAATCATTTTAAACTCTCTGAGTCTCAATTTCCTCATCTATAAAGTAAGAATAACCTCAATGATATCCATTTCAAAGAATGGTTTTTAGGATTTAAATGAGCTTAAATGTGGTAAATGTTAAAGCTCTATACCAAAGACTCTAACTTAAGGTCCATGCCTGAGCTTTGAAGTCTACAAACCCCTTGAAGATTATCCTAAATTTATGTACAGTCATAGATCTATTGTTCCATCAAACAATCCAAGTTCCCTCCTGCCTCTCATAGGTTAGCTTTGTGCTATGCTGAAAGTGATTCTATTATTTAAAGAAAGACTTTTTCATGCAACATGGCTCTCAAGTGTAAACCAACTAACTACTGTGTAGACACAGAACTATGTACTCTGGATTTGTAGGGGAAATTCAAAGGATCTTCAAGGGTAATTTGGATTACCTGTGATTTTTGCTTTACAGACTGTCTTTAGAACCAAACCCTGTATAAAATGTGACTCTTCTCTTTATGCATTTATAGCAGGAGAGTGCATGGCTTCCAGCAGTAGATTCTTAAAAGAGAAGGCAATTCCAAGTTAGTAGGGAAGCGTTGTTTTAGACTATTGTAAGAATTGCAATGTTAATAATAATAAATATGGCTTGATGATTATTATTATATATACATTTACTCAGCACCTATTGTGTCCCAAGCATAATCCAAAAATGAATTAGAGAAGTTCATATTCCCAAAAGGCCCATAAAGCTCTGGGACAATGAACCATATGTAGTTGGTTAATGTTAAAGCTTTCTTGGAGGAGGTAGGATATGAATTGGATCCTAAAGGAGACTGGGAATCTTGACAGATGAAGATAAGAAAAGGGCCTGTTACCAGGAAGGGGTACTGAGAAAAGGTCTGGGGGGTGGATATGGTGAGGTCTGCTTAGGAAATGGTATGTCTGGAATACAGGCTGGGATATGGGCTGAGACGGGAAGAGGCTGAAGATAGAATAACTGGGGCTTCAGAGTCAGATAGGATTCAGACTCTACTGTCCATCCCAATTTTCACAACTGATTCATTCAACCCTTTCTCTTCCCCAGTAGCCATTCCAGGGCTGAATACCTACATATGCTCAAAGATGTCTTGCTTTGAAGGAGGGAGATCTGTAAATTAGGTCAAAGCAAGAAATACTTTGATTCCAGTCCTACCTCATCTACTGGCCAGCTAGGTGGCCTTGGGCAAGACTCTTACCCTCTCTGAACTGGATCGTCATTTATAAAACAGGAATAGTCTTACTTCTCCTGGCATTATTACTCAATAAGGTGTTTGGCGGTTGGTGGGAGCTAATCTCACGTTAGTTGAATTGAATTCTCATGAGGTTCTTGAGGGGCATTAAATGAAGCAGTGGCTGGGTAGACCATCCAGTGATCAGAAAGAAAGGACAACCTTGAAGTCCTACATTTTAACATAGTCACTGACCTTGAGAAGTTCTCACCTCCTCCTTAGGCAGCAGATACTTATCCCTTTCCTGTCGTGCCAGGCTCCTTCCGCAGCAAAGGAAAAGAGGGAGATTCATCAATCACCTGGGCTGAGGCCAGACATTGGAAATCTCCCAATGCATGCTAATGCCATCGACCCTTCCAAGATGTGCTGGGCTTTCAAACAAGCTTATTTGACTCTGATTCACCTCTAGAGAAAAGAAAGTTTATGTTACGGATACAAAGAAACACTAGGAAAAACTTTCTCCAATTGACTCGCCCTGGCCTTAATTTTTACAAGTTCTGTGTAAGTTTAGATGGCACACCCTTCTTAGAAAGACCATCTTGCCATGGTTCACTCACTTGATTAATACTGGCTGCTTCTTTCTTTGAGCAGAACCTGTGCTGGACCTGGGAGTACTCAGAGAACTTATGTAAAAGCAGGGTTTGGGAACAAAGGAAAGAGGGCCCTTACAGAGGAGGACTCAAATAAGATCTCATAGGGAGATGTTTGAGCCAGATCTTGGAATAAGTAGATCACTCCTTGAGCAATCAAGGGGTGTTATGTGAAATCTGGGTAAAACAGAAAGCATATGCAGGGAGTTGTATGAAGTTCATTGTAACTAGAGCATAAAGTAAGTGTCGGGGGATGGTTGAAGCTGGAGGCAGGAGCAAAGTCACCAAGGGTGTTGGATGTCAAGTTAAAGAGTTACGACTTTATACCGTGGGTGATGAGGAATCCTTTAATGGGTGTGGAGCTAGGCAGTGATTTTGTCAAACATGATAATGATCCTGGAGTCTTTACAGTAAGCTTTTAAGAGACCAGGCTTCCATAAAGGGTGGAGAAAATTTTCTGAAATTTGACCCAAAGGCAAGAAAGTTCATTCCAACCCCCATCAGAGTTTCAGCCAAAGATCGATCTCTTCTTCTGCTATTCCTTAAGAGAATCAAGGTCCCCCTCTCCTGATGGCCTTTGACATATCTACAATGTCTCCCCCATCATCCAAGACCATTGCCTTTCAGCAGTCTCTGTGTCAAAGACAGATTTGATGGCAAGAAAATGGCCCACTGGAGAAATAAAATGCTTGTGTTTCTTCAGCAGGGAAAGCTGTTGGGGTTTTTTATTATCATTATTATTATTTTTCTCTAAGCTGAACAAGTGACAGGACATAATAATATCATTTATTCTAACTTGCTCTTGCAAATCAGAACTTTTTAATATTTTCCTTTCAAATGAAAATGCCATTTATCATTATCAAATGAAGTGCTAATGAAAACAACATGTAGAAGAAACACATTCACACAGCAGAGCATGATGGAGCACCTTGTCAGCAGTCCATAGTCCTGCCGTTAATTTGATTTCTGCCAAAAATCACTTAAGTGAGACTTGGAGATTTTTTTTTTTTTCTCAACGCTCCAGGCCTTTCTACCGAGGCCTGTTTATTCCTCTCTCCCAAGAAGGCACTGAAATCCCCAGCCAGTTTTAATCTGACTTTTAATGGAACTTCCATTGATTGTATGAGAGAAGTGTGTCTGTCAGGGAGCGTGAGGGGACGTGCCTGCCTGTCTGTGTGCTATTGCTCATTTCTTTCACTCAACACATATTTGGCTGGTGGGCTTTGGCTGTGTCCTTGTTTGGGTACATTTGTGTTTGTGAACTTCAATCTGGATATGTATCTGTAGGTCACTATGCGTTTGTGTCCATAGGCCACAAGGACAGTCATTACCCCTATTTGTTCACTGATGGAGGCCCAGTATCTGGCCAATTGCCTGACACATAGTAGGTACTCAATAAATATTTATTAAATAAATATATGAATGTGCCTGCATACTTTCATGAAGCATGTACTTCTGTTGTCTGGGTTCACATAGTGTGTTTTCATTCACAGGGGTGGGACTTTCAGGGGCATGAACTATCGCTGAATCTTTAGTGTTTGTTCAGGGCCTGGACCAAGGTAGGTGTTTGTTTAGTGAATATGTCTATGAGTGTCTGTATTTTTTTAATTGAGGCAAAATTTACATAACATACATTAATAATTTGGGAGGGAGGTACCAGGGTTTGAACTCAAGGGCACTCAACCGCTGAGCCACATCCCCAGCCCTATTTAGAGACAGGGTCTCACTGAGTTGCTTAGCACCTTGCTTTTGCTGAGGCTGGTTTTGAATTTTCCATCCTCCTGCCTCAGCCTCCCCAGCTGCTGGAATTACAGGCATGTGCCACCACACCCAGCTACATTAACCATTTTTAAGCATATAATTCCATAGCACTTAGTACATTCACAGTGTGACACAACCGTCACTGCCATCTAATTCCAAAGCATTATCATCTCCCTGAGAGGAAACTGTGTACCCATTAAGCAGTCACTCCACATTCCTCCTTCCCCCTGTCCCTGGCAACTACTGATCTATTTTCTGTCTCTGTGGATTTACCTATTCTGGGTATTTTATATAAATGGAATCATATAACATGTGACTTTCGTGTCTGGATCCCTTCACTTAGCTTAACATTTTCAAAGTAATCCATGAATGTTTGTACATCTGTGTGCACTTCAGTCTGTAAGTATATATTTATGTGTGGACTATCCAGTACCTGACTGTAGCCTGGTAAAGCCCAGTTGGGCAATGAGAGAAACTCTTATTTTTTGTGTGTGTGTGAGAAACTCTTGTCATTCCCCTCTCCCCTTCCCTGGCAGGCACTTCTGAGCCCTGTAAAAGCTTGGCCCAGCTCACCGTTCTTCACCCCATCTCTACGGTTGCCTGGATAACTCAGAATGATTCTTTGGTGATCTGCCCAGGTGTTATCTACTCCAGGCAGCCTTTCCTGAACCAGGCTGGGTCACAGGACCCTCTCTACCCTCTCTCTGTCCCTGTGCTTTATTTTGACACTGTTCACTGTCAACGTACTTGTCTCTTTCCCTGTTATAGCATAAGTTCCTAAGAGAAAGGGGCTGGGTGGGTGCAGTCTCATGCTTAGCACAAGGCTTTGCTGATAGTGACTGTCCTGTAAGAGTTGATTAAATGAAAAAATTAATAAACTAATTAACCGGGGGAGGGGAGGCATTCCATAGAGGGAACCCCCTGTGCTAGAGCCCTGGGGCATGAGAGAGCATGTTCATTATAAAACCTATAGCAGTATATTGACTTGAAGCCTGGTGTATGTGAATAAGGAGGACAGTGAGAGCTGAAATAGATAGGAAGAAGTAGGAGTGGGCATCTCAGGAACCACCCTGAAGACAATGAGAAGTGCTAGAGGTCATGACTTGGTCAGGTCGATAGGGTAGAGAACACCTCCAGTTCTAACCTAGGATGAACCAGAGAGGATGAGGGTGAACCACGTAGGAGGCTACTGCAGATGTCCAGGAAAATGATTTTGATGGCCTAGTCCAGGGTGGTGGTGGTGAAATTGGAGATAGAGGCTTGGGCAGTGCTCAACAAAGTGATCTTCAATCTGGGGCTGATCCACGAATCGTAACCAGTCCACAGCCAGACAGGTACAAAACAGGAGACGGGAGAACAAGGACATAGAAATCTTTAGAGAAGTTTGACATTGCTGAGGCATTTTTACTGTATTCTACAAAAATATTGGTCTATAGCATATTGGAAATGGAAAAATAAAAGATCCTTCACCATGGATAGTATAGGAGGTGTTAAATAATGGAACATGTTGGGGGATGGGAGACAGAGGAAGCAGATGTGTCCCCACCATGACTGTCAATGACAGGGACCATGTCTGCAGTATCCCTGTGTTCTCAGAAACCCCCTTGGGAGGAAATGTTTGCTAACCTAAACTCCCAGGATCTGGCAGGAGCTAGCGGTCCTGAACAGTGTCAAGGCTTCCAGAGGAACCAGGAAAGATGAGGGCAAAAGGCTGGGTCCAGAAAGAAAATGGGATCTGAACGAAGGTGGCCACCCACTGCAGAGGTATGCAGCTGTGTTTCCTTCAGCTTCCTCAACTCTGCCCCTGAATCATGCTAGACTTCTCCCTCACCCTTACCTCCACACTTAATCATCCACCAACCACTGTGACCTACAGACTCAATGTAGTGCAGGATTGAGAGCCTGGACTCTAGAGCTCAACTCCATGAATTCAAATCCTGATGCTACCACTTGCTAGGTATATATATAACTTGAATGCATTTCTGAGCCTGTTTCTTTGGGCTATTGCAAGAACTAAATGAATTACATGGCAAACACTTAAAATGGCACTTGGCATATGGCAAGAATACTTTGCTACTGTAATTGCATTGGTTGCTTCTACTTCCCAAGTAACTCATGAATAAACCTGCCCCTCTCTCCATTCGTTATACTACTGCCCTAGTCAAGGTCACCACTGTTTCTTTCTAGAAATGGTAAAGCCTCCTCAGTGGCCTCCCTGTCTTCTGTTGGGTTCTCTCTTACTTCTTTCTAGCCCCAGGATGTCCTTTCTGAACCATGGATTTAGCATGTCACATTTCGCTTAAAAAAACCACTAGTGACTGTCCATTGTTCCTAAGATAAAGTTCAGACTCAGAAATAACTCACAAGGATCTGTATGATTTAGCCCAGTCCTATCCCTCACAGCCTCACCATTTCACACAGTTGCTTTTGCCCTGTGTGTCAGCCACATGAGCCTTTCTCAGTTCCCCAAATGGCTTTTGCACATTCGGATCCCTCTGCCACTGTCATCATCTCCAAATCCCCCATCAAACCAGCTACTCTGCTCCTTTCTAGTCTTGGGTCAGCTACTTCTTCTAGACATCTTCCCAGATCCCCAGGCACAATCAGATGCCCTTGTTCTGTGCCTCCTGTGACTCCTTGACTTACCACTGACTCAACAGTCATCTTTGCTCTTCCATATCTGGCTCTGCAGACTGTGAGCTCCTCCAGGCCAGCCGCTGGGCCTGACCCACCTGTGTGAATACTTGATAAACCCATGTGAAATAGGATTGAATTGGAATTAGCCCAATAATGCATTTGAAGAGCCAGAAAGTAGAATAAAGTGGCTGGATCCAATTTCTCCAGGAGCGGCTCATGCGTGGGCAAGGGGAGCATGAGATGTTCTTTTTCTCACACCATCTTCTTCCTGCTGCCAACCCCCTCCTAGCTGCGTGAGTCTCGTGAGTCGACTCCAGTCTGGATGGGCTTGGCAGTGGCTGCCTGGCTATGTGCCCATCAGTCGTGGGCACCCAGAAAACATGCTGAGAGAGCTGAGCACCACCCAAGCATTCCTGCCCCCCAAATCCTACCATGGGGTACTGGAAACAGAAGGAGGAGGAAAGAAGAAGGTAGGTTATCCAAACCACCAATATCTCTAGGCCTCAGTCTCCTCCTTGGAATCACAAGAGAAAAAGATAAAGAGATGAGGAAAAGCACAACATGGGTAGGATCCCACTTCTGGGGTGCGTAGGTGGAAAAGTGTCTGCAGAGGTGCAATATCTTCAAAGGATTTAGGTCTTTTTAAAAAACCCTCACAGGCAGTGAAACTGAGCACTAATTGTGATAGTTACGAAGAGAGATGAGAAGTTCAAGAAACAAAAGATTGTGTTTATATAAAAGAGAAGTGAACTGAAATACCCTGATGTTATCAGTAGCTTTCTTACCACGGATAGGGACTGTGTTAAGCACTTTGTATATATAATTTCAATCAAACCTCACAGTGCTCCTATTAAAAAAAAGGTATCATCATTATTTCTATTTTATAGATCAGAAAATTGAGAGAGATGGAATTAATTTTCCTAAAAGACCCATTAAGAAAAAGCCAAAATTTGAACCCTAAACCATATGATTCTATTCTTTCCATCCAATGCTGAATGTGGTTGATTCCATGTACCATCAGAAATAGAAACATGAGAGCTACATTTTGCAGACCCCCAGGTCAGCTGGGCTCCAGTCTAGTTCTGCAGTTGGAAAATATATATGGGCCACAAGAAGATAGGAAGAAAATAGAAACCATGTTTGGCTTCTGTCATCTGCAGGAGTGTGGACTCTTGGATTCCAGGAGTTGTATTGACATCGGTTCCAGGAATGTTCCTGGAGTGCAGCCTCCACTCTCCCCCTTTTGCTTCTCTAGACTTAAGAGCAGTAATGGCTTCCTAGCAGTAACTGACCTATAGGGAGCACCGCTTTTCCCCTTGCTCTCCAGGTCATCCAACAGCTATACAGAGCCAACTCTCTATTTGACATAACTTGAGGGGTTTGTTTCACTGCTTGACTTGGGCTAACATGATTTTGCTCTTCCTACCCCTTTAATCAGAGGCAATCCTCAGTTGTAGGATCAAGGCATCAGCCAAGCAGGCTGAGGGCAAGGCTGAGGCCTCTGTAGGACCCTGAAAATCCATCAGGGATAAGTATCTATTGGGCTAATACCAAGAAAGGAGAGGGCAGGCCACAGGGCTCCTGACAGGCATCCAATGTGTCGGGTTGGGCTTTGAGCCTAATTCCAGAGCCCATCCACAATTGAGGCCGAACCCTAAAGCCATTCTGTCAGTTTTAAGAAGGCTCAGGGCCTGAAAACACAAGATAGCCTGAGACTGGCAGCTAAGCAGACTCTGGGTGCAAGATCCACAGAGAAGCTGGGGTGTGGTTCAGTGGTTGAAAGCTTTCCTAACATACCCAAGGCCCTGAGTTGGATCCCCAGCATTGCCAAAAAAAAAAAAAAGAGAGAGAGAGAGATCAACAAAATATCTTCTCCCTGCCTCTACAACCCCTTAGCAACCCACATAATTTCTGTTCACTAATCAGTTCATGGAGAAGAAGCTTTGGTAATTTGACAAACCTGAGTCCATATTTCCTACCAGCTTGTTCTACTGTCCTCCCAACCTGAGCCTCGGTCTCCTTTTTAATAAAACAAGGGCAGTTGTGCTCACAGCACCAGAGTGAGGATTGGATGAGACGATATATGTGAAGCACATAACTCAGCTCTTATCCTGTCGCAGATGCTTAATAACTAAGTCTCCCACTCTCCCCCTTCTGAATCATAAGCTCCTTATTTAGTTAACATAACCAGTGTGTCTCTCAAGCTCCATTATAAGATCTAAGAATATAAAGACCATGTTGTAGCCTTCTTTGCCTTGCTCAGAGCACCTAGTTCATTTTAAAATAATAATATGCCTTTAATAATAAATAAACCTTCACATTCATAAAAAATAAGGAACTGGGAAAAGAGAAATGATGCTTCTCCATTCAGCCTGAATATGTTGCGTTGAGAAAAACTAAAACTTTCGAATCTGCTCAATTTCCCCGCACCTCTCCTTCCTTCCCTCCCTTCCTTTTTCCCACAGATATTTGTTTTCCAGGCCTGGAAAACACAAAGATAAATAAAGTGCAATTCTCACTCTGAGGAGTCCAGAGTCCAATGGGGGAGATGTTGTGTAAACAGACGATGACAGCCCACTGGTGCGTACATGGAGCGTTGACAAACACACCCATGGTGTGGGACAGGGGGAGCCCAGGGACATGGAGGCCAGACAGGAAATCTGGGGAGACAGGGGAGGCTTCCTGGATAATTACTCCTGTGCTGGGTCATAACAGAAGAGTGGAAAGGAGCACCTTGACATGGCTGAAGTAGGAAAGCAGAGTGAAAGGAGCCCAGACACCTGAGCCATGCTCGCTGCAGCTCAGAGGGTCAGCTGGGGGCCCACAGTGATATGTGGATGCTCTTCTGTAAAATGAGATGATAATACCTACTGGACAAGGCCATTATGGGTGTGATGGCAATACAGAAAGGACCTGATATAAAACAGGCATCAGTGAATATCAGGTCCCACCTACCATCACTGTGACAGTGGCCTTTCCTGAAGGACATAAAAACTCAGGAGGGTGTGGAGCTACAGTTAGATTTTCTACAAAGACAAGTTTGATTTAACTTTCAAAAATTAAAGAAGTCCCTCCCCCAGGAACAATGCCTAAAAACATTGTCTAAGACGCTCTCCATGACCAAACTTAAATCGAGCTCCTGTGAGCCTGGTCTTGGTCCTGTCCTGCCTTTGGCCTGCCTGGTCCAATCTTAGTAAGAATTCTGCATAACCCAGTTTAGCAAGAATCCTCCCACCCTTGATATCGGATCAAGTCCTTCATCCTTCTTCTATGTTGCATAAGACCTTGGTCTGGCTTTAGCAAGAGTTCTATTAAGCCAAGTTAGGAAGAATCTTCCTATCCTTGATGTCTCCTCTTAGTAATGTTCCATGCACAGATCCCCTGACTCTTCTTGTTGACAGTAAATCCCCAGTTGTCATTGCTGAATTCAGAGTTGAGTTCAGTCTCTCTCTCCTGTTGCAGTACCCCTTTTGCAATGGTCTTGAATGAATCTTTCTTAACATTAGAAAAAGAATGGGGCTGGGGTTGTGGCTCAGCTGTAGAGCACTCACCTTGCATGTGCGGGGCCCTGGGTTTGATTCTCAGCACCACATGAAAATAAATAAACAAAATAAAGGTGTTGTGTCCAACTACAGCTAAAAAAAAGATAAATATCTTAAAAAAACATTAGAGAAGAAGAAGAAGACGTTGTTGTTTGTGGGGCTAAAATATCTTTTTTATTAAGATAGTTTATTTAGGCTTATAAAAAATGAGCAGAAAGTACAGAGTTCCTATACATTATACACCACAACTGTTTTATTAACGGTCTGCTTTAGTGTTATTATTGATAGTAATGGTTAGTTGCTCATTGGCAAAATACTTCTTGAAGACGCCTCATTGGCTTTAGCATGTGCAGCAGCTCCCCACCTTCCCCACTAGATCACCTTCTGAGCAAGTCTTACTGCTAATGACAAAAATTTTAAATAGTGAATAATGAAGAACCCAATCCCCTGCCCCTACCCCAATACACATATCCCTGAGGTTGTAACCACCCAGAATACAAGCAGGTCAAGAGACTCCCCAGAGTTTACTGAGCCCCTCTAAGCTCACATCTCCACCGCTCTTTAGATTTGGGACACTGCAGCACAAGAAGAAACCATCCCTGACTTTCTTTCTCCCTTTTTCAAACTGAACAAGTTCCTGAACTTGTCAAACATAAATGCAAAATTATGAAAAACAATTGTAAGTGAAAACTCCAGTTATTAAAATGTATGGGGATTAATTATTGATCTGATGATATGCTGAATAAAAAGAAAGAGACACGCTTGGATAAACGGAAATCTTTTAAAGTCATTAATATACATGTGTTTATTTTTCCTCATCGACACTGGAAGCTGCGGCAAGGCTGTATTGTCTAACAAATTAGAGGGGGTGACAGTGCCATGTTCAGCCCGATGTGTGATGTCTCTCTGCTCAGACTTATTAATTTCTGCCAAATTAAAATAAGGTTGCCCTCCCCACTGCAGGCTGCAGGGATGTAGAATGCAAATACAAATGCCATTTGGAGGACTTTGCCTTCGGGTGGCTGCTGAGGGAGGCTGCTTGCTGGCCTGAAGCTGTTTCCACACAGACAGGAAACCATTGGGAAATTGCTGCCCACAAACTAGGTACTGTCAAAGGAGTCTCTTCCAGGACTGATGGCACCTTGGTGCTCTTCCTGGAAGGGTGACCCTCCTGAGCTGCCACTCCCTCGATTTCGCCCAGAATATCCTCAAGCCCTGCACCACTGCCTCCAAAAATCCATTCCAAAATGATCACCTTCTTCCTGAACCCTGGTTTTCTTATCTGCAAACTGGATCATCTGGTGCCAGGAGACATAGTATAGTGGCGACTAGTTGAGACTGTGGATTTAGGCAGACCCAATTTCCTAATTGTGTGATCCTGAGCAGGGTGACTCCTCTGAGCCCCCATTTCATCAATAAAATGAGAAAACAATGTCCTCTAAGCCTCATGGGATATTTGAGGATCAAACAGATAATATGTGAAAAGCACTAGAGCTTAGCAAATAGTAGTTGTTCCAGAATCTTTAGCTTTGTTATTAGCTTTCTCACATTAAATTCTATAAAGTATGTGGAAACAAAAAAAAAACACAATGTCTCCTGAATATATTTTCTCAAATTAAAAAAAAAAAAGCATTATTGCCCTATGTACATACACAATTACACAGCCGGTGTGATTCTACATCATGTACACCCAGAAGAATGAGAAGTTATATTCCATTGATGTATGATGTGTCAAAATGCATTCTACTGTCATGTATAATTAATTAGAACTATTTTTTTTATTTAAAAAGTTTCTAAAGTTCTTTCTACCAAAAAGATATCACAGAAATGTAGGCAGAGCCATGGACTATGTACTCTTCAATTTTCTGCAGGAAACTTGGGCTTGAAGTCTTGGTATCAGGGTGATTTGGAATAGTTTTAAGTATCTCTGCTCATGTGCAATTCCTGTCCTGCAATGTCACATGGCTTGGCATGCCAGGAGGGCTTCCTAGTGTGCCTGCTACATTCGGCTCTGGTGTCTTGAACTATGGGGTTCCTTCAGATATCTCTCTCCCCGCCCCTGCAGATGAGCATCTGGGGTACAGGCCTGAAACTTACTCAGCTCTGGGACCCAGGACTCAGTCCAAGGCCAAGGGAAATGAATAAAGCCACATAATGGTACTTCTTATGATTAAAAGAAGCATCACAGTTTTACAGGTAAGGAAACAGCTAAGAGAAGTCAAGTCCCTTATCCAGAGCCACACAATTAGGAAGCAGTGGGTCCTGATCAGAGTAGCAGGTGTCTCCCCTAAGGCTATAACCACCCCAGAGCCTCAACCTTAACCACATCTGCTTAGAGTAGAGGGAAAGGGGAGGAGAAACTGTTTCACTTGTCCCCCTCAGCTTTAGCCAGGAGAGACACATCAGTTAGGATGTGCTGGTCCAGGTATCCAAATGAAAGGTGACAACAGCCTCATCAGGGCAGGGTGAAGAAGAGAAGTGGTGAAATAGAGAAATTCTCAGGAAGGGACACCTTCCAGATCTGCTGACATGCTGAATAAGAGAGTGCTAAGGGAGGGATGGATGGGGGAATATGCAGATATTGGTGATGCTTACAGAAAAATGGATGCTAAATTATCAATTCTTCATCATCATCATCATCATCATCATCATCCTCATCCTCATCAATACAGAGAACTAACTTCATGCCAGGTGTCGCACTAAGTACTCTACATACATTATCCCATTCAGGCATCCCAGTAACCCTGTGAGAAGGTCCCTATTCTATGCATGAGAATATGGAAGCTTCCAAACAATACTCGATTGGGGACAATTTATTTGACAATTAAAAATTACTTGAACTTTATAAATAAGCATTTTACAGGATCCTTTTAAACATGAAATAGCCCTCCCCTTGTCATGAAAAGGTTGAAGTGGGCTGTGTTCCTCACTTTTTCCCCCAGAACCAAAATTCTAGAATCCTGGGTCCTGACAGTCAGTCCTAAATCGTTCCTGTCACCTCTCCCAGCAGGTTAATCAAGTCTACTCACAAATTGAGCAAACAGAATAAGCATCCAGGTGTTCTCAAGGGGGACAAGCACACTAGCATCCCCCCCACTGATATACCTAGGTTTCTGATCTCTACACCAAGCCTACATTCCACTGCTCTAGTAATTCCCCCACTTGCCCACCTATCTGCTCAAGGGCTCCCTCCAGCCATCCTGGTACTAGGATCACAGCTACTTGGAGCCCCCACCCTGAGAGCTATCAGAATTGGGTAAATGCAGCTGTTATTTTGAAGGAGTAAGTTGAGGGCACTTAGCGAATCAACTTCCTAATGAATCTTTTCAGGTCTGGATGGAAGCTGTTCTGTTACTATGGAACTTGGCTTGATTTAGAAATTAATGTGGTAATTTACAGCCACTCTGCCAGGCAGGAAGATTAAAAGAGAGAGAGAGAGGGTGAGGGGAGAGAGACCTCAAGAGTGGCAGACCCTTAAGAGGCACAAGCCTGGGCATGTCTAGAGAGCTGGGCCACATGCACTGTGCACGTGATGGTGGCTTCTCCCAGGTTGAACCCATGCAGGACACAGGCAGGGAGAGACACTCCCTAATGTAAATATGAAAATTGATGCCCTCCAAGGGGTCTCCTCTTTAGGGATTACACACACACACTCGCACACACACACACACACACACACACACACACACACACACACAGGATTTCCATTGTTTTCCTAACTTCCAGGATTTGCTTCCTAGTATCACTATTTTGCCAAGC